GTCAAATCCTTGTAATATTACAGAAATTTGTTTTGGACATTCGGTTTTTATTTAAAAAGTTTAAAAAGTTTTGTCTAAAAAGTTTTTCGTTTAAAATAAAAGAAAAAATCCTTTCTATTTTTCAATTTTTGCTCATCAATTTTTCATTCTCTATAAAAAAAGCGCAGCGGAGCAGAAGTCCGACAGAACTTCCTACCGAGTTCGCTCCGTCTTTCTATGAAATTTAATCGTGCGAGTCATTTCCTCCCAAAATCAATAACTATTAAAATAGAAAAATGATTCACAGAAACTAGCCTCCAATTAATCACCCCATATTCCCCAGAATTTCTCATGCATAAGCTATCACATGCCCAATAAAATATCACTCAATTAGCCGCACCATCCTAATGAGCGGAATGCCCCATCTATTTATGACAGTCATAATCCCAACCACGGGTAGCCTTCCACTATTTTAATTCCATTAAAAAAAACACATTGGATTCAAAACCGCTGTCAATTACCTCCTCCGACTATGAGTCTCGATGACCGCGCGGATCGACAAGAGGTGAGTAGCGGAAAAAGTTTCGAGGAAGCATTAGTCCCGGCAAATAGCTTCTCGGAAATGACACTGAGTGACCGTGTAATCCACACATCTAGTCGCTGAGCGAAAAGTAGAATAAGTAGTAGTAGTAAAGTAGTTGTTTCGATTGCCTAAAACGCTTTGCGTGCCTAAAACGTCCCTTTTCCACACATTGTAATGAAAAATATCGTTCGATACTCGTGGGAAAAGTGTTTTTTGGCTCGTGGGAGTTTTATAGCACGAGCCGAAGGCGAGAGACTATAACAAAATAGTATATTTCGTAACGAGTGCAAAAAAGTGTTTTTTGGCGAGTGGGAGGTTTATATCACGAGCCGAAGGCGAGCCTAAGACGCCTAAAACGTCCCTTTTCCACACATTGTAATGAAAAATATCGTTCGATACGCGTGGGAAAAGTGTTTTTTGGCTCGTGGGAGTTTTATAGCACGAGCCGAAGGCGAGAGACTATAACAAAATAGTATATTTTGTAACGAGTGCAAAAAACATTTTTTCACGAGTTACGAACAATATTTTTCATCACAATGTGGCGGAAATTGGACTTTGAGGCCCGCGGAGCGTGCCGAAAAGTTCACTTTTCGTCACAGCGTGATGAAAAACACTATTCCACACTCGTAACGAAATATACTATTCTACCTTGATTTATCAAATCTAGGCATCACGTCAGTGTGAGAAAAGTATTTTCGTTTACGAATAAACGAAGAGGCCCATTTCGGCACGAGTTGAACGTAGCAGCAGTGACAAAAAACATATTCTTATCCCCCGGTATCCAGGTGTCGGAGTGAGCCAGAGTGCACTAATGCCGGGGATCGCACAATAACAGAAAAACATCCCGACTACTGAGGTGAATAGAAAAGGATAAAATGGCTGTGAGCGCCACCCCAACAAAATTTCATGAATAGAAAATGCTTCTATTCGCTTCTACGATTTGAACGCCAAACAATTTTCTATATTCCCGGGGTGGGCCGTGGCATATATTTCAACTCGACAATCAGCCCAACGAGACAAATACCCTTATTTGTACACATCCTGTTCATTGTCATGCGCTTATAACGCACGTTGGAGGCTTGAAGGGTGGAGTCGAAGAGAGGAATATAAAAAATCGTAGAGAGAAGCCATCAAAAAAACTTCCGGTGAAGCGTCTTTTCTCGGGGGCCATCTCCGGGGGGGGGGGGGGGACCACTCCCATAAAACAATTTTTCATGACGTATTTACCGAGGAAATTATATACACCGGACGATTGACGCTACCTGTGCGAGACAAGATTTTTGATCCAGGATGTTTTCACTATTCAATTCATTATGATTTTTTTTTGTGAATTACCCCGGATGCGCTGGGGATGCGGTGGGTGGAGCGAGACCTGACACTAATTGTCATCTCTGGGGGTCCTCAGGATGAATCCTCTGCACTTGAGAATTTGAGAGAAAATTATTTATTGGGGAGATCCAGGTTTTGCGTGAATTTTTTTTATTGCTGGATAGGATAGTTGAATGGGAAATATTAGATACGTATTTTTTTTTTTATTGTAGATTATTTATTTGTTTGTTTATTGATTGATTTATTTATTTATTTATTTATTTACAGACTCTGCAACCAAGGCCCATTAGAGTGTCAAATCAATATACATTTCTGAATAAATTGAAGGTTTTATTCAAACTTAAACTTCACTTGTATTCACATTTTTCGGGAAGTCGTAATTGTTTAAAAATGAAATTATCATCTAGATGGCGAAGAGAACTTATTTAATATTTTGGAATCAAAGAATTATTAGTGAATAGAGAAATAAAAATGAGTTTATTAATTTCGAGAATTTCGAGTAAACAATTGAAAAAAATTCGTTTACTACTTTTGATTAAATTTTTGTCTTTGTTTAAATTGATAGCAATAAAATTTCATGCAGCAACTCAATTATTAGTACAGGGGTGGGATTAGGCACCAGTACTATACACTTGACGCTGTATATTACAGATAAAGACTGCATAAAGATTCGGTAATGGCTCTAAGAGGGCATTTCCATTTCGGGAAATTGGCCCTAAAGTTGATAAGATTCCTTCTGAGTTTCTTTTTCTTTATGACTAGAGACTCTCATCGGAGAGATACGTCTCCACTCTAGGCATACCGTGTTTTTGAGGTGATTTCGGGGATAATGGCCATTCAACAATAACAATAAAATACAAAGAGGAATTTAAAAACAATTTGGGGGTCATAAAGCAGGGGGAGGTGATAAGGCGTTAGATTCAGGCGCTGCGCGGCGGGAAATCGTGGAGGCATTCGTCGAGAGACTGACGATTCCGAATTTATTGTATTTTTATTATTAAATTTTTATTTTTTATTTTATTTATCCATTCGAGCATCCATTTGATCCGATGTTACCGGACATTTAACGATCGTTTTATTATCTGAACTTCGGAGGTCGAAATTTGGTTCTCCATTCTAAACAGTTACGGGCAATTAAAATAGGAAGTTTACTTAATTAATTAATTTTTACTGAAATTTATTGCAGGAAAAATACACAAAAAAATAATTTTCTTACAATAGGCCATCGCCCGAAGGCCTTCAGCCAAGGAAGTATACTTTTTGAGAAAGTTTTCACAAATAATCGAAAAATTGCTTTCTTTGATATATTAAAGTTGATGAGATTTTTTTTTGTAGAGACTTTCGTCGAGGACATACGTCGGCACTCTAGGCATAACGTGTGTTCCGAAGTGATTTCGGGGATAACGGCCATTCAACGATATCAATAAAATACAAAGAGGAATTTAAAAACAATTTGGGGGCCATAAAGCAGGAAAGGTGATGAATCAGGAGAATCTCATGCTGCGAGGCGGAAAATTCCGGATTCCGGATTTTATTGTATTTTTATTATTAAATTTTTATTCTTCACAATACTTATCCATTTGAGCCCTATTCGACCCTACATTACCTGACGTTTTACGATTATTTCGTAGTTTAAACTTCGAAGGTCTCTCATTTAATTATCCATTCTGAATCATTAGGAAACGTTTTAAAAATCCATCAAAAATAGAAAGGCTACTTTTTGAGAGAGATTCACACAATCATTCAGTAGTATCAATTTTTGGAGATTCAAACGCTTTTTTAATTTTATTTAACAGACGTTCGATCATTCTTAATTGAACAGAAACAATTCAGTAGCGAAGTGGTAAAACGGTTTAGGTCGGCTTACCCCCCAGTTGAGTTTTTGAGAAATATTTCCGAATCTAAGGGAGATAGCGAAATTTTCCTCATAACCTTGTCAGCAGCGCTCAATTTGCTCTACAAAAAAGGTTCTCACGAAAATTGCGCTATCTCCTCTGAATTCCAAAATATTTCTGGAAAACCCAACTGAAGACTAAATTGACTTGAACCGTTTGACCACTTCGCTACTGAAAACGTCGAATGGTGCAATTCTATTTCCTGAAATTTCCCCTGAAAAACTAACCGACGTAGTCTTGAAAAATTGCCACAGAGAAGGCCCTCCCCCAGCTCCTCACCCCGAAAAATTACCCCCGACGAAAAACCTCCGGACACCCCCCATCAACCACCAAAATAACCCGCGCACATCTCTTATTTCCACTTGAGCATCACTCCCCCGAAATCTCCACACCCCGAGTGGAAATTCAAATTAGGATAGAATAAGAGACTGACCAGTAAAAACTGATTTTGATCAATTTTGGATCAGAAATGTAACGCTTGTTGGGGTCCATGCCTGGTCAAAATTCTAGGATGCGATCTTCCTGAACAGTACCGGATCCGATACGGATCTAGTCGAGATTTGACTGATCAGAATAGGATCACAATTCACTCCGCCACAATGGATACAGATACTCCATTCAGAATCTCATCAGATCCTGATCCGAAAGTCTAATCAATAAATTCCGACCAGTATGGAACCTAAAACTAATGTAGATCCAAGCTAACTGAGTGAAATTTCCACTCGGGCCGGTACGTCTTTCTTTTTCGCAATGGGGGAAGAAACAATTTGTGCGTTGAAATAAAGGCGGCACTGGTGGTCCCCGGAGGCAAAAGACTCAAGCCATATGCCAAGGGGACGCGGGACCCATTGGGCACACGGGTAATTACGAGGGATGCTCTTCTCCTCTCCTTCGGTTCCGAAGCTTTCGGCATCCTAGCGTAGGTTCTCGTGCGCCCGCCGAGCTGCGGAGTTGGGGGG